ATAGCATCTCACCTTTTGTATTATATTAAAGGGAAAGCCTGCTTCTGGAGCAGAGAGCATCTGGAGCAGATTAGGGGCAGAAATTATAATTATGGATGCTAATGAATCAATGAATACATTGTTTAGGAGGAAATTGATAAGAATCATAAAAACTGAAAACGCAGAAGGTGTCATATTTAAGTATTTAAAGACATTTTCCCTTTTCTATGTGATGCATAACACAGGCAACACCTTCTTTCACATATTTAACACAATTTTAAAGTTTGCTTTATTTCTAATTAACTGTTTTTTCTAAAGTGACTGCATTTTAAGTTTCAGTATTTCAGTATGGTAAAAAAAATAAAGTCTGATGGGTTCCTATCAATGATAAAGAAAGATGCTTCTGTTGGGTACATCAAATCTAAACTGCTCACCGTGTTTATTATTAAAGGGTAACTTTCCATATTCTGCTTTGGTTCTACTTGAATATGGTTAAAAAAATAAATAACATGCAGTCGACAAATTAAAATCCCTCCCCCTCAAACCTGTCTGACGTCAGATTTAGGAAGTTTCATCTGACGATTTCTGCAACCTTACCAAGTCAACAGTCTGACAGGAGCTTTATGCAGCGATTGGCCCAGTGAGCAGAGGTGTGAAAGTGTGCAGAATCTGAACTTCTCTCTCAAGTTCTCATTTTTCACTATTCATTTATGTACAACTGAGTGCAACACCACGAATGCCTTTAAGGAGAGACTGCTAGAAGGTGTCACTCCTCTTTATGCCAGCAGACTTTTTCACCAGCCCCCCAGTACAGCCATTGACAACATTACACGTGGAGTAGTATGCCTGCCTAGGTGATACTAGGATTCATTTATGATTTTAACTACTTATTTATAATAAAACATTTGAGACAAAAGGTTTAATTTGAATGCAAGCACCATACTTTAAACATATCAACTGTATTTAGCACAACATATAAATTATCGTTTTAAAGTATCATTGCAATCAAGAATAAAAATTTTGTCAATTAAGTTTTTTTTTTTCTCTTCAATCTGATCCGAGTCATTTCATACTTAGCATCTGCCGATCCAAGATAATTTTTCTAATAAAGCACACTTCAAGTATTGTACATTAGCTGTAGTACCTGGTTGCACCACAAGGGGAAACCTCTCACTGTTTTATACCCGAGCAGATGGTACATTTTGTGTCACTAAACAGAGAGCATTGTGGGGGTTTAGCTAGCAACAGACCACCATGATGTCGATTTCTGGGATGCTTAATGATCTCCATCCAAAACTAATGTATGTGACTAGAAGATTCATTAAGGCAGCATTCCTACATTCCAGTGGCATCTGTAACAATAAATAAACAAACGCCAAAAGGGCAGTGGGCCTGAAATGAGCCTCTGATCGGCCTTGGTGCCACTTGGTGTCCTACCAAAGTGGAGTAGGTGGGGGACACTAGACTAGGGGTGTTTTTTTGAAAGTCCATTTTGCAAAGGCCACCGTTGGTCGCTACAGTCTCCACCAGAGGAGGTCTACGGTCACAGTCAGGGATGACAGAGATCCAGGTGAAGGTGGACTTGGGAGACAGAAAGCAGGGTGCTCCATTAACAAGGGATACGACAGGCTGGTATGAACCAGTTAAGGAACATGCCTGGTGTTTGCTCTTGCAAGCAAATTAGCATTTTTGTAACGTCCTTTAATGGCAGTTTGTGTCTAATATATTTAAATGAAACCATCAAGCTTCTATCGTACAATATAATGCATTATAATATAATGGTGCTGCTCATTGACAGGAGAAGCCTGCGATTAGTGGGTAACCTGCTTTACTACCTGAACTACAGATACACTCATAATAATGGCATTAGGTCCCTTAATGCTCAAAACATAAAGTCACAGAGTGCGATTTAAGTGATGATTGTGCAGCAGAATCTCATTTTCTCTCACTTGTTTCCTTCCAGCAGGATGTCCACTCAAGATGCTCTTATTTACCACTTAAAGAGTCGCTGACCTTCAAAGAGAATCTCTGGTAAAAGCACCAATCAGTTCTGTTGTGTAGGTTTATTATTTTAAATACATCCACAAGGGAGCAGAGACACACATCCTTTATTTATGAGGCGGCGTGTGAGCGAGTTGGTAAAAAATGACTCATTCTTTCTATTATTTCCCTCCCGTCTCCCACTGAGAGATGAGTCAGAATACGGGAGAAACCTGAGCGAATAATAAAACCGTCCTGCTCCCCCCAAAACAAACAAGGTTAGCGTTCTATTTTCAGTTATAAAACCACACAAGAAAAAAAAATGTGACTTGTGGGTCGGAGTCTTTGTCCATAACTAAAACTTTCATTTAACACCAAGACATTAAGACACTTTAATAAAAATAATGAGGGCAGTGCAGCTATTCCTGAGAAATAATAAAGGCAGATCGCAGACATTCACCCATGCAGACACACAGTGACACACAAACACACAACTTTTCCTGAGAGTGGGAGAGATCCATCGAGCTGAACACACCTCCTACTCATGTATCCAAATACCTGGTGCCATGACAACCCGCCGGCAGCTCCGAAAGCAACGAGATTACAGTTGAAATTGTCACCCACCACTACTCTGAATGCGCAACGTTGCATGTCATTAACAACACAAATCATTAGCAGCTTTCTAGCAGGGAACTAATTCCATCAACAGCCAAAATTTTTTGCCAATCTGTGCTCGTATATTGTTTCTATCTATCTCCATCAATCACACTCCCTTTGCATGAATGCAAACTTTATTTTCAGATGAATTTATGGCTTCTGGAAGCTGGAATCCAGGTGGCTCTCGGTGCCTTTTCCAAAATTAGGCGTCTCACTGTCACTTCCCCGTTAGATATTTCCGACTGAGTGACAGTCCAACTATTCTTAGTAAGGAATCAAAACTCTGAAACAGTTCCCAAATAGACTCACATGTCAGATGAGCAGACGTGCTTTAGGCTTTCACCGAGTAAATCGATATATAAGCTAGAACAGAAGAACACGAGCACTTCTGTTTTCCATCACATCACGTTGTCACTATAAGTACTCTGCAATCGAATTTAGCTGCATCTTCCTGTAAATTACTGACTTTAAGCTCGGATGGTTTCTCAAAACCCCTCAAACATGATTTCAGGTATTTATAGATTCTTAAATGATGTATTTCTCACTAAATGGGCAACAATTAAAGTTTAAAACTGAAGACAACATGGTAAACATTACACTGGCTTAACATTCGTATGTTACTGTCATTCTACATATATCATGCATCTTCACAAAACTCTTCACTAATGTACTTTAATAAATATATGGGCATGTATGTACCACTGAAGCATGGCGGTATCATCAAATGAAGTATTTTTTGTTGAACATGTTCATATACTGTCAGCAAAAAAAGTGTACTAGCGTTATTGCTGAAATAAACTTGTGTCTCGCTCTCTCCTTGCTGCTTTCTACACCTCAGTGGTGCTGAAAGACGCACAGCAGCAGCTACTTTTAATCAGTTTTATTATTCCTATTATTCATGTTCTTATGAATGGGAAAAATTGTGAATAAAAATTAAATTATGTGCTTTTGAAATGTTGTACACTGTCAAAAGAATCAGTAATCTTACTTATTTCTTCTGCATTTTTTATTTTCTTTTTTTTTTTAAACAAAAATATTGATAGCAATGGGAAAAAATGGTGAATTTACATGCCAGTATCTGTGTATGACCATAAAACTTCTGCTTCTTTAAAGAAAATTGATTCT